GTACAACTTTACAGAGCATCACATTCAAAACATCAAGACTTCTGGATATTTCTGGGCCTTATACAGGCCAAAATGAAAGAAATTCTTTAAATTTTGAGCAACAGGTAAGAAGAAGAATACAAGACTAATTAAATAAAAAGTTAGGAAAGACAATAATAGGTATTAAGTTAAGCAAAGAACAACCTCTAAACCAACATTAATAAGAACTTATACCATTTGAGTTAAATAATGCAGCAAAAGCAGAGAGTTATATCCTGTATATGTTATTTTAAAAACTGAAATACAGTATGATACATTGATACATATATACCCATATGTACATACACACACCTTATTTTTTTTTTAAGATTTTATTTATTTATTTGACAGACAGAGATCACAAGTAGGCAGAGAGGCAGGCAGAGAGAGAGGAAGAAACAGGCTCCCCGCCGAGGAGGGAGTCCAATGTGGGGCTCGATCCCAGGACCCTGGGATCATGACCTTAGCCGAAGGCAGAGGCTTTAACCCACTAAGCCACCCAGGCACCCACACACCTTATTTTAAATATAAAAATACAGTATATTTTAGTTTCTAAAATAATATATATGCATATTTATTTATGTGTTTGGGTGTTCACCTGCACAGCAAAGGATATGGCAGCAGATGTACCAAATGTTAATGTATGCACAGGAGTAAGATTACTGATGATTTTTATTTTTATTCTTGTTTCTACATTTTGATTTGGGAGAGGTCATAAGAAGATACCGATTAATATCAGAAAAGGTAACAGATGGAATGACACAAATAAAACTGATTTGAAAATGTTACATTACTATTTTTTTTGCAATCTCCTTTTTTTGCTTTCTTTTTAAATTATTTCATCAATGTCCACCCACTCGTGCCTGCTCTGCTGCTGGGCAATGTTTTCATAGAATTTAAGTATGGGAACTGGTCAGAAATAAATGCTTTCAACAACCAACTGACCTCTTTACAATGTGTTCATCAAGCAAAGAGCTGGGGTGACCAAATAATATGAAGTCAAAAAGATAATCAGGATTGTTGGTCACTATAGTCAACTTACACTGTCATATGAGCCAATATATTTATTCACAGTAGTGTCCATTTAGTATCAAAACTTATAACTGGGTGAAAAAAATCCAGAGACAATCTCTTTGTATACAGTATTTTTTTTTTAAAGATTTTATTCATTTATTTGACAGAGAGAGAGCAAAAGTAGGCAGAGCAGCAGGCAAACAGAGAGAGAGAAGCAGGCTTCCCTCTGAGCAGGGAGCCCTACACGGGCTTGATCCCAGGACCCGTGACATCATGACCTGAGCCAAAGACAGACGCTCAACAAACTGAGCCACCCAGGCGCACCTGTATACAGAATTTTTAAAACTTCTTTGTGTAAGATACTTTGCAAACATATCCCATGTTGCTAAATATTCCTCTACATAATTTTTCATGGCAGCCTTACTTTGTCAAGGTCCTGTTCTTACTCTGTGAATGTACTTTTTTTAAATGTAAATGAGGTATAGCATAAATTGTACAACCAACTCCCTACGTTTCACTGTAAATCGCTGCCAGCTCTTACAAACAAGCTGAAAACAATATTCTAAAGGGGGGGAAAGGCACCACCCTTCTCCCCACCTCTCAGCCCTATCAATAAATACATTTATTTCCAACCAACAAGTTGTCTGCAATTCAAACCCCATATCATGCTTAGATGACACAGAAATTCCTCACATAATCCCTCTGAGACTCAGTTTCCTTACAAATAACAAGGAAAGACTGGGACTGGCAACAGAACTTCATTTCTCCACTCCAGACCCTGGGGTTCCTTTACAACACCTGGTTCTCTTCTCCCATCATGCATTAATAAACTGGCATGGTATGAAGCAGTCTCTTATAGGGTTATGTGCCAGAATATGACAATCTCTTGGGGAAAAGATACTATTAAAGAGTCCCTAAAAGAAGGCAAAAGACATCATAGAGCAGAGGGGGCCCACCAGGGGATAGCAATCTTTGAGAATGGACTAATAACAGTGGCCATATCTGCATTACAGTGCTAAAAACTACTAACTTTTAGCCAGTAAACAGAGAATTTGGACCTAAGATTTTCCTCCAATCACCTCTAACTTTATTAACTCATTTGTGATAGGACGTTATACGACAGGGAGCAAACCTCAATGACGGCCACAGGAATTCGCATACATGGTCTCATTTAAAGATCAGCAAGGAGAAGGGCACTTCTTACTCACAAGCTGTTCCCTTGGCTCCTCAGAAAAGAGGGCAAATCTAGGGCTACACTGACATTTCTCATTTCTCATTGTGCCAGAATGGTGCCAGAGATCAAGAGAAGGGAATGAGATTAAGGGTACCACACTTAAAAGTATGACAAAGACAAGAGAGACTAGAGCTAACAGTCAATGGCATGCAATGGGGTGGGTTTCTTCATTACTCCATGTGAATTATCAAATCTCTTTTTTAACTTTATTTATTTATTTGACAGAGAGAGAGATCACAAGTAGGCAGAGAGGTAGGCAGAGAGAGAGGGGGAAGCAGGCTTCCTACCAAGCAGAGAGCCCAATGCGGGGCTTGATCTCAGGACCCTGGGATCATGACTTGAGCTGAAAGCAGAGGCTTAACCCACTGACCCCCCCAAGGCTCCCCTGAATTATCAAATCTTTAAAAAAGGTAAATGGGGAAATGGTAAAATATGTCAGATGTATCTGCTACTGCAGACAGAAGAGTCTTAACAGATTATTTTTAATTACCCCTCTGAAGAAGATCAAAAGAGTTGAAACATTTCCAAAAATACAATATATTTTATTGAAGTAGTATCTTATTATCTGATGCCCAGATTTCAGTAAATGTTGTCTCCTACGTAAAAGATAAGAGGAAGAAGTTAGGCCATATTAAGTACCACCTCTGTCACTCACAAAATGTTTATTTGGCCCTACAGAAATTTGACTAAAAAAAAAATGTTTCAATCTAACTAACTCTATACAGGTCCAAGATAGTATTTTTTTAAAAGAAGTTGTACAAAAACTACAGACTATCCTGTGAGTTTACCTCTGAAAGGGTCTTATGCAGCAAGGAGCTTTGGTTTTTCAACCTGTGAGCTTCGTCCACAACAAGAACACTCCATGGGAAGCTGTGAGAGAAAAATCCAAGCTTTCAGTTTTGTGTAACCCAAGCATATATCTCATAGCCAAAAAGTCTTACCATACAACTAGCACTAATATTGGAAAGACTAATATTAAGCCCATTCTACTAGAGACACACTCAAATTGCCTTTTTTTCTTTTTTAAGATTTATTTATTTGAGAGAGAGCGTGTGCATGAATGGGCAGAGGGGGCAGAGAGAAAGAATCTCAAGAAGACTCTCCACTGAGCATGGAGCACCACACAGAGCTTGATCCCACGATTCTGAGATCATGACCTGAACCGAAATCAAGAGTCGGATATAACCCAGGCACCTCTCAAATTACCTTATCTGAAAGCCTGCCATTTTATATAAGACAACATCTGGACAAGGTACTAAGGGAATTTGTTTTCCAAGATGGGAAAGGTCTGTGCATAAAGCCAGAAAGGAAGGAGCTAGAGACAAAAAGCAAAAGGAAACATTTATGACTACCTACTATGTACCAGACCCTATGCTTGGTTGAGGCTTTGTGTCTGTTATTTAATCAAAAGAATATGATGAGTAGACATTGTGCTGCTCATTTTACCAACAAGGAGACTAAAGCTCAGAAAGGTTAGGGGACTTGGTCAAGGTCATAAAGCTAGAATAAGGTAGAGCTGAGATTTAAACACAGAAGAAAAATCAAGAGAAAATGATGTCACAGTAGCTTAAAAAGTGTTTTAGATTTAAAAATGGAAAAGCAGGGGCGCCTGGGTGGCTCAGTGGGTTAAAGCCTCTGCCTTCGGCTCAGGTCATGATCTCAGGGTCCTGGGATAGAGCCCCGCATCGGGCTCTCTGCTCGGCTGGGAGCCTGCTTCCCTCTCTCTCTCTCTGTGCCTGCCTCTCTGCCTACTTGTGATCTCTGTCAGATAAATAAATAAAATCTTTAAAAAAAAAAAAAATGGAAAAGCAGTGAGTAAGATCAAATGTTACAGACATTCAGGAAGATATATCCGTTGGATATACTATGGAAGTCATCGGTGGCTGTTGCTAGAGCACACAAAAAATTTCAAAATAAGGAAAAATATGTATGTATGAATATGTTCCAAGCTGATTTAAAATAACAAAAAGTTGAAAATAAGTAAGTCCAATTATACATGACATATTATTCAGTATTTTAAATACTATGATCATCTTACAATAAAAAGGCCTATGATAACTAAAAAACATATGAATATTACGTATCTTCTCACAAATGAGAAACCATGTGAGAGACAGCAAAGTGGAAGTTACAAGGTCTTTAAATTTTTATTTTGTTTGCAAACATTGTGTAATCTCATTACATTTTTTTTTTAAGATTATTTATTTGAAAGAGCACAAGGGGGAAGGAGAAAGTGGGAGAAGCAAACTCCCCACTGAACAGGGAGCCAGAGGTGGGGCTCAATCCTAGGACCCTGAGATCATGACCTGAGCTGAAGTCAGACACTTAACTAACTGAGCCACCTAGGTGCTTATTACATTTTTTTTTTTTAAGATTTTATTTATTTATTTGACAGAGAGAGATCACAAGTAGATGGAGAGGCAGGCAGAGAGAGAGAAAGAGAGAGAGAGAGAGAGAGAGGGAAGCAGGCTCCCCGCTAAGCAGAGAGCCCAATGCGGGACTCGATCCCAGGACCCTGAGATCATGACCTGAGCCAAAGGCAGTGGCTTAACCCACTGAGCCACCCAGGTGCCCCTACATTTTTCTTATACTTAAAAAACAAAATGTATATACAAGTAAGACAGAACAATGGAAAGATAGTGGGTAGGGAAATAAAAATCACTCAAAAATTGAGAAAGACCTACAGCAGATGTTGGCCTTACAAGAAAGAAGCCCTCTTCCTCTGAGAAAATCCAGAAAACAGGTGCAGAAACAGAAACCTAGCACCATCTTATTGAGAGCGATACAGCTGGAGGGAAAACTGGGGGTCCAAAGAGGGTAGGAACCGGGATCATTCCTACTGGGTAGCACTTAGAGGAGATGCATTTAAGCATTATGAGTAGTGTCCAACTGGTGTTGGAGAGTGGTCATGAGATAAGGTGGCAAAGTAGCCGTAAAATAGCACCTGGCCTGTTAAAATCATCATTCAAAACAATTTAGGTCCTATCTCCTTGTGAAGAACTGGGTATTAAAGTCTTACATAGAGCAGGCATGCAGTAAAAGCTTATTCAGTGAAGCAGCCTACAGGGAGATGGATGTGGGCTCAGTGGAAGAAAGGAGGGCAAATCACTCATCAAAGAACACCAAAGTACACTCAAGGATGCTCCCTGGAGGGGAAGAGGTGGAGTGAATTCCAGCAGTGAATGGAGAGGGGGATGAGGGAACTTCTAATCCTCTTGACCCGAAGATTTCGTAGGTCTATTATCAAAAAAAATTTTCGTATTTTTCACATTGGTATGTATACCATTTTAATTCTCCACTAAGCCTCTTTAGAGCAGATATTACACCTTCTGGCTCTTCTCAGTGTGTGATACAGTAATATACAAAATAACCTTGTCAAGTATATCAAAAGAATAAATCTGTGTCCCTGGGGTTCATACTGTTAGCCAATATTATGAATGGCCTCTTATTATTTAGGTTCTTAAATTCACATGGGATGAATTCAAGATGGATGATTTAATATAAAAAGATATTATTTCTGATGAATAATGTGAAACTCCAGGGCACTTAGATAATTTAAAAAGCTGTCCCTGGGGTTTGTTTTGGTTTTTCTGGAATCAGTATCAGATGTTTGTTTGTTTATTTATTTATTGAGACGCTCTCTTAAAAAGTCTCCATAGCACTGAGTGCTGCATTTGGATATCTGCTTTGCCATTACTATCAAAGTAGCCTTGGCTGGGTTACTTAACCTCCTACTTTCCTCATCTACAATACTGACAATAAATAATACCTGCCTACTAGGGTTTTCAAGAAGATTACTTAGGATAATTTAAATACCCAGAAACAAGTATATCCTAATCTTCTAGGCTTCTGAGACTTCCCACATCCTGCCTTGTATTATGGATATCTAAATATTGCTTCTCCCTCTACTGGAGTATACATCCTCTTAGGGAGCTCTGTAGTTTACTTTCCTGGCACTGCTCGTAACTCTCAAACAGTGATTTTCCAAAAAGAAAAGATCTTCAACAAGTATTAAGTTGGATATTAAAAATAAAAAAAAAAGACAGAGGGAAAGCATATTTTCTTAAGAAGAATAAGATAAGGGGCACCTGGGTCGCTCAGTGAGTTAAAGCCTCTGCCTTCGGCTCAGGTCATGATCCCAGAGTCCTGGGATTGAGCCCCACTTCGGGCTCTCTGCTCAGCGGGGAGCCTGCTTCCTCCTCTCTCTCTCTGCCTGCCTCTCTGTCTACTTGTGATCTCTTTCTGTCAAATAAATAAATAAAATCTTTAAAAAAAAAAAAAAGAAGAAGAAGAAGATAACGTGCTCACTTAAATGAAACTTAAGTGAACCAAAATACAGGAATGGAGAGTCACGAAATCTATGACTAGGCAGTTAGTGTCTCCCAATAAGATGAAAATAGACATCCAACTCAGAAGAACCTGGATGAAAAATAACATGTAAATTACTGGTAAAGTGCTTTGAAAACAGAAGTTTCTAAGTATCCCCACTTAACCACATCATAACTATGAATTATATGGAGAATGAAATCCTGTCAACACATCTTTTCTTATGTACCTAAAGTCTGGCTAATGTTTAATTTACGTTGTAACCGGTAGTCTGACCCTATATTGTAACATGTCACCCCTAATATCAGGTGGTATGAAGAATTAAATCTACGTTTCCTATCCCTCATGAGCTGATATGAAAGCCTGAAAGCTGACTACTTAAAAGTGTATTTAAAATTCCCTTTCTAAAAAGTGAATTGTACAGTACTGACTGCTACTTTAGGATACTTCTAGGAAAAGGTGCAAATAATTCATCTCTATATTATTGTAGAATCTCCAAACAGCAGTCCTGAAAGGTATCTATGCCATTTGTAATGAAAAGAATCTAGTGTTTATTAACCACCTACCATGTACATCTTGTTTAATCCTCACAACAGCCACCCAGAGCGAGATTTAATTATCCTCATTTCACAGATGAAGACCCTGAGGTTCACTAAGGTTAAGTAACCCAAGGATACACAGCTAATGAGAATGGGCTATAGTGCAGGACTCCCGCTGTGCCACCTGTCTTATTATAAGACTCACAGAAGACATACCAGGAAGATGTACCAGACATACGATGAAAGAGACAAAGTACTAAAATGTAAAGACAAGACATGACACTCATGATATATTCAACAGTTTCCGAAGCAGTGTGACATACTCACGATTTTAGAAATGAAGAATCTTTCAAGCAAATCTGAAAAATTAAGAAAAAAGACACACTGTAACTAGTACTAACATAACTGATATTATAAACTAGTTTCTTATTAGCTAAATCCTACAGTTTAAGAGAGTTAAGTCTCATTCATTCACTAAGTAAAAAAAAGTTCTGAATCTAATTGTATGTAGCACTATCACAAAGAGAAAACAAAACACAGGCACAAGTAAGTGCAAGGTCTTGCTTACAGTCACCCAGTCTTCACTTAAAGAATAGGAGCTTAAGCTTCTGCCTTCGGCTCAGGTCATGATCTCAGGGTCCTGGGATCAAGCCCCACATCGGGCTCTTTGCTCAGCAGGGAGCCTGCTTCCTCCTCTCTCTCTCTCTCTGCCTGCCTCTCTGCCTACTTGTGATCTCTGTCTGTCAAGTAAATAAATAAAATCTTTAAAGAAAAAAAAAAAAGAATAGGAACTTAAAATGAAACTAGAACTTAGTGTCCTCCACTCCCATTTTGCAGTAACAGACAATGCCTCAGCCCACAAAACCCTTTCTCCTACCTACCTGCCTCCTCCTCCTATTCACCAGCCAAGTGACACCTCCCTGGGGAACCTTCACCCTTGATGCACCAAGAAAGAGAGAGATAACCAACTAATTTGGAGTACGATAGTCCTTCACTTCCTTTGGTCATGGCCCCTAAGAATCTAATGGAAGTAAACTTTTCTTCCAGAAAAATGTATGCTCTCAAAAAAAAAGTTAAATTTAATTCCAGTGGCTTCTACAACTTCTACAGTCCCAAGTTAAGAGTTCTTGCTATAGAGAAATAAATGGATACCTCATAGGTAGTTAGCAGCACATGAAAACGTGACTCTTTTTTTAGGTCTTGCTGTAGATGGGCTCTCTCCTCCTTGTCACCTGCATACATTATACAGGAAAGACCTGGAGCAAATCTGAATCCAAGAAAAGAGGTAGATGAACACCAACACAGAGCCTAAGGGAAGGGTGTATATATATGGAAAAGTACATTTCATAGAAGAATTAAGGACATGCAGACTTCATGATGTCCTGCAATCAGAAAGAGTCCTGGGACTCTGGATTCTTATCTAGAGTAAAGGTAAAACTATGGGTAAGTTCCTGTGTGAAAAGGCAGAAGGGGTGGATGAGTATCTACAAGGGCACTATACTAATTCTAAAGAGAAAGCTAGTTTTTCCATGTTGGTTACTTCCCATGTCACTGTGAAAAAGATGGTTTCCCCTTTAGTTCAGCAAAATTTACTGAGTACTGATCTTCAAATTGCCAAAAAATAACATCCACCGCACCTTCCCCCCATCAGATTCTTTCTCTACCTATATTGCCTCAGGTCAGAGTTTTCTGGAGGAAATAAAATCACTGATTGGGACAGTATGTTGTTTTATCATCTTTCACATATCACCCAGAAAAAAAAAATCTTAATGTAAAAAGCAAAATTGCAGCTACATCTGCTCTCTACCTCTCCATCTCTTCTCTCCAGTTGCTCAAAACAGACAAGGGGCAAAGAATCAGAAATGGTCCTTCATCATTTAATCTTCCTGCCAAGTAAATGAAGAGAGCAATAGTCTGGAACACACAAAAAGAAGGCAGTTTTTATCACATTTCCACACGAGAAACAATCATAAAGTTCCCATGACCTTGGAGGGAACACAAACTCGTACAGAAGACTTAGTGTACAAAAAATATATATATACAATTCTCCACACACCAGGAGTTATCCATTCCTAAAGTGAAATCATGTAAGCCTAAACATAATTGCCAAGGAAATCTATGGTACTTAGTTACATCAATAGTTAACAAGCAGTGGTGCTCAGTATTTATGTAATTGAGCCCTGTGATACAAAGGGGAAAAAAATCAGAAAGATAACAGAAATAAATGAAAACAATGCACAAGATCAAGAAAACTCTGAAAACATAAGGTAAGAACATCCAAGATGTGACTAAAGATGACCTACCATGTGGTGGTCTCTGCTGCTTGCCACACTCTCCTGAAGGAGGATGTTTTCCTTCCTAATTTCCTCCCTCATTTCCCTAGGTTTTTTTTCCTTCTGCCTGCATTTATAGAGCACCTTCTATTTGCTAAGCACTATTCTCAGTTCAAGTATATCATTGAACAAAAAAGACAAAACTCCCAGCTCTCCTGGAGCATACATTCTAGTGAAGAAAACAAACAATAAATAACACCTTGTAACCTTAAGTAGGCACATAAAACAAAAATTTTTGTAAAGCCCAACAAGCGTATTTTAGGACATGGCTGTATGTACTTTTGACTAGAAGTTTCTCTAAAAGGTTGCTGTGATATACAGAGAAAAGAGCACTCTTTTATAAAACAAAATGTTTGAGGAGCACCCATCCCCAAATGCTGAACCATGCTAACAAAATCTATCCTAAAGATACAATCCAAGATCCTGAACAAGTTGCATGCCCACGGGATGTTTACACTGAGGTTAATACAGCACAAAAAGAGGGGACAACGGGCCATCCCTCATCTGCAGGATATTTAAATTATGATGAATTCTCTTGAGGGAATCCTATATAGCCAGCAGAAGATGACTGTGAAGGATATAAAAAAATGGATAATTACAATTACAAAGTTAGATTAGTAAGATACAAACTATATGTGTACTATAATGTACTATGTCAACCATTTAAAATACACAGCTATTTCACGCTTTATAATTAGAGTGTTGTGGCTAGAAGGTGGCAGTTACTTCTTAACTGAGATTACTTAATTTTATAATGGAAATCATTTCTTTTTTCTAAATAATTTCCTTTTTAACTACTCACCACGTCCCAGCCCAGACCGTACCAGAGCAATTGCCCAGTAAGTACTTACTGGAATAAGACCATTCTGTTTAGCTTTTGCTGAGGATACTATTTGAGAGAACATTTATCTTCGGTTACCATAAACCACATATATCTACAAAATTAATTTGGAATCACTAGTGAATCCTACCAAACATTTACAGAAGAAACAATGTCAATTTTACACAAATTCTTTTAGAAAACCAAAGGGGACAAAAACTTCTCAATTCATGCTATGAGTCCATCTTTACCAGAAAACTAAAACCAAGGGCATTATAAGTAAACTACAGACAAGTATCTTTCATGAACACAGATGCAAAAATTCTAAACAAAATCTTAGTAACATGAATTTGGAGGTATAATAGTTCCAAATCACTTAAAGTAGAGCTACATGAACACTCTGGAGAAAGGCAAAAGTGGAATTTGCTGGCTCTGAATGAAATCAGCAGGATTCCAATGTGCAGAGCAAAGGAGACTACACGGAGGGCTCTCTGTACATGATCTCAGTGTCTCTTAGCCTGGCTCTCCCAGAGACATCCAGAAAACTTACATTTGTTTTAGTTCCATAGTTCTCAGTTCAGGAATATACTAGAACCCAATTTATCTGCCTGAGAAACCTGAAGATGACAAATGAGGTCCTTGAGGATACCATACTCAGAGGTCATTTTGTATTCTGAATAACCCCAGGATCAATGAGGAACACCTGGCTTAAAGTAGTCTCCAACATGTGGTCAGATAGAACCTGTAGCACTATGTGCAGAACTGCTCCAACTGGATGTTTACGTATGAGGTCAGACTTGCAGTGGGCAGTCAAGCTTCCAAAGGGATCAATGAGACCTTCACTCATTCTGTGTGTTTACTGGTAAAAAAACCTTTTTGGTATGGGGTAACTTATATGTCCATGGTTTCTGATCAAGTGGGCTCTGCTGTATATTTTGACTACAGTGACTTTCTTTAGTATCCTATAGATGAGTAAACCTTGTGTGACTAACCCAGGGGGTGTCTGTGTCTAGACTTTGAATCGAGCCAAGCCCACCACTGACATCTGACAAATACAGGGCTGTACTGGTGATCCTCCTACCAGAATAATCAATCTCAATGCCCAAGGAGACCACACCTGATTCTCCAGGTCTCTGGACTGGGTGCTCCCACTAGATGTCCAAGGCATTTTGGAAGACAGGATTCTTCCTCTGCACTTCTCTAGCAAGACACATAAATGAGAAGTAGCCCTACCACCTACTGAGGAAGAGAGGTAAATAGATCCAGTTAACTAAGTGGAAGTACTGCTAAAGAGGGCACTGTCCATTTGATCTGGAGGGTGGGGGGGCACATGACACAGATATATTAACATAGAGAAAAACCCTGACCATTAATTACAATCCCATGTCAAATGACCCAGTTCAAAACCATCCCCGTAACTAGGAAAGTCAGTTCCAAGGTCATAATCTCTTAACAAAGGTTCAGGCATTTCACCTCTTAGTATAAAAAGTAGCTAACACCTGAAGATAGTGATGAGTTGTGAGGAAGTATTTCAGCAGAGGTGAACAGTGGTCACTCCACAGTAACCTACCTGGCAGGTCTTACCCAGGCCCATCTCATCTCCCAGGATGCAGCCATTCTGACCATGGAAGCACTGGGCAAGCCAGTTGACTCCCTCCAGCTGATAAGAGTGTAGATGAATCCCTAGAAATAAAAAATAAAGCAAGTCTGGGGGCGCCTGGGTGGCTCAGTGGGTTAAGCCGCTGCCTTCGGCTCAGGTCATGATCCCAGGTCCTGGGTTCAAGCTCCACATCGGGCTTTCTGCTCAGCAGGGAGCCTGCTTCCTCCTCTCTCTGCCTGCCTCTCTGCCTACTTGTGATTTCTCTCTGTCAAATAAATAAATAAAATATTTTTTAAAAAAAATAAAAAAATAAAGCAAGTCTGAAAAGCAGCCATTTCAGC